TCTACATGACATCTAACGCCCTACACTACATCAGACCACCCTACACGACATCAGACCGCCCTATATGACATCAGACCGCCCTACACGACATCAGACCGCCCTACATGACATTAAACTGCCCTATACATCATCAGACCACCCTATACAACATCAGACCGCTTGAAGCACTCTGTTCATATCATCAAAATTGACAAACATCCTATTAAACCCAGATCCTTATGCTGCCATCACCATGCTGTACTAAAGGTGAAATGAAATTACGCCCAAATTTAGCTTGTGATGATGATTTATTTTACCCATGTCCAGACTGATACTGAATCTCAAAGGTACAGAAACTTTTGGCACTGAGAGCTGTGTCCGATCTCAGGAGGTTTCTGCATCCTGGAGGGTTCAGAAATGGTTTGATTTGATCCCGTTCTCGAAGTTTGGGAAAGACCTGAACTGACAACTCACAAGACATAAAGACCACCTCTATTCACAATTCATCTCCAGAGATCTAGTCAGAGAAGGGAGTCTGTTAGGTAGGTGGTCATAATGTTAAGCCTGGCTGGAGGATCTAAACAGCCTCCCAGGGAAATATTTCCCAGGAAAAAGAACCTCTTCATACAGACTCAGAAACTAGGAGATACTTTAAGTAGTTCAATGCTCATCTAATGAGTTTGAGGGGAACTTTTTTTTGTTTTTTGCCAGCCCTCCCTGACAGGCGCAGGCCCGAGCAGACAGGTGTTCTGTTTCCCAGCGCAGGAACATGTGTCCCCCTCCCTTTACACAGCAGCAGCTCTGCTTCCCCCCCATCATGACTCACAGGTAGGAGGTGAACACGCTCAGGTTGCTCGGTATCTCCCGCAGCCCCAGGTCCGAGCAGTCCGCCCGGTGCAGCAGCCCGTCCCCCTCGCAGCGGCAGCGGTCAGGGCAGGTGGTGGAACCGTTCACCGCCTCGCTCTGCCTCCTCACTCCGGCCTCGGAGCTCCTCGACCCGGCCAAGAGGACCGCAAAGGCGGCCAACAAAGCCCCGAGCCCCCGCATGTCCCGCATGGGTGAAAGTTTCCTGCGCAGTGACAGGAGGAGAAAAGTTTCTGCTCCAGGTGTTGGTGGCTCCTCTGATGAAGGAGGGCTGTGGGCTCAGGTTTGCAGCTTGGTGTGTTTCCAGGCTGAACGCGTGGATCTGAGTGTGTGTGAGTCCCTCCACGCACTCACAGCCGCGTGAAAAAGCCGTCCACTTATATACAGCCTGCCCCTCAGCTCACAATGGGAGGGGGGCAGAGTCCCAATAATCTGTGATTTAATCCATCAGTTGAGGGGGAAAGAATTTGTTTTTAACTAATTATGCTGAAAAAGGCTGCTGCATCTTTACCCTCATGATTTTAAACATTATAATATAAACATTTCAATAAGAGAATTTAGGTTTGGAAAATAGTATAAAAAGTATAAGTGAACTGATTTTTAAATAATATTTCACTTTAATATGGGGAAAAAGTCAGAATTCTGACATTAATGTCAGAATTCTGACTTTTTTTCCTCTGAATTCTGACTTTTTTTCTTAGATTTCTCACTTTTTTCTCGTAATTCCGAATTTAATCTCAGAATTCTAACTTTAATCTCAGATTTCTGACTTTTTTTTTTACATATTTCTAACTTCTTCATCCGCCTTTGACACAAGCTAATCAGTTTTGAACCACACGTCCTCAAAAGCCCAGTCAGCATCCAGTGGTTGTGCTATGTCCAATTTCAATTCATGAAACTGTTTCAACCCACTTCCAGCCCCTCCTCCATTTTCTTAGCTAAAGCTTCATCAGAGTGTCATTCCTAATGCGTTCCGTGTCTCATCTTAACCGGTCCGGCAGAGGTTTCTTCCCAAGTTTGAGTTTTTCCTCTCCACTGTTGCTTCATGCTTGCTCATCATGGACAGGTTCTCACAACCAGTGTTATCCAAGCTTCATCTTCCAGCTTCCCCGAGTGAAGTTCTAGTATCAGCTCACGCAGTCCATTGGATCTCCACATAAAGCTCAGCAGACCGTCTCGCTAACGTAATGTTCACAGGTACAGAGCAACGAAATGAATTCTCTGCAACTTAACCCATCCCCTTTGGGAGCAGTGGGGGGTTAAGGGTCTTGCTCAGGGACCCAGAGTGGCAGTCTGTGGGGGTGGGGGGTCGAACTCACAATCTCAGGATTCAAAGCCCTATGCCCTAACAACTAGGCCACCACTCCCCCACTGTATGTCAGTGACACCACCAGGGGCCATGGCCACCCTGTGCAATCCCATCACTGGCCAGTATAAATTGTAGTAGCATCAGTTTAGCATTTCATCCCATTATGCACAGCCATAACGTAAAATTAAAAATAACACAATAAACCAAGACATGAGTAGGTGTTTATGAGTTCTACAGGCAGGTTTACCATAATAGTAGATTCAAACCCTGAAATTATGGCTTTTAGTTTTAGTGGCCCCATCTGGCCCCCCATGAAACATTTCTGCAGGCTCCACTGCTGGACGTCCTGTAACCCTAAGGATTGTGGGAATCTTTAGCTCCTACGTAGCGGTCACTTGGGAAGAATTTTGCTTCCTTCTTGCACTTTGCACGTGTCCTAACTGATTTTCTTTGACATCATGTTTATTCCTTTACTAAAGGTCTGATCCCATATGAATTAATGATCTTTCCCCGTACTAGTGGGCTAGAGAACTTCCTTTAGGCGCTGCTAGTTTCCAGCTTTTCTTAACTAGCTGCTGATTTTGCATGCAGCATTTTGTTCTTTTGGGCAATAGTATTATTAGCCATGTTAACATGCACAAAATGTCACAATTGGATTGAAATATATTTGGGTTAAAACACAGAAAATGACAGAGTTTTACCACCTGTATGGATGTGAGTAATCGTAATAAAATAGCAGACCAGACTGAAAATAAACAATATCTCATGTTGACACGAGCTAACTCAGGCCAACCTGCCTTATTCAGCTTTACTTGATCGTTGAGTGTTTACATACGTGCCAATCAGATTATTCATCCATTTTCCATCAGGCGTATCCCAGCTGGGGTGGTGAGGGGTGCTGGCGCTTATATCTCCAGCTGTGTACGGGCGAGAGGCAGGGTACACCCTGGACAGGTCGCCAGTCATTCGCAGCCAATCAGATTATCAGTCGGCATAAACCAGCCTTCTGAATAGAATCATATATTCCACTGTCATGTTTACATGATGCATTTTTAGCACATTAAGCGATTTATTCACCTCCATCTACAAGTAGCTGTTTAGTTTGTTTGTCTATATATTCTGGTTTTGCATAACTTTTTAAATGTGCTTTGAAACAATGTATTTACAGCGTTTGCACCCCTTTGGCCTTGAACGTTAAAGGCTTGACCTTTAAAAGTATTTCTGATTCTGATTGACCTGCACTAGAGGAAAAAACTAAAAAACAGCAGAAACTTTTAATAATTTTAAACTTCTGTATATTTCTGATTTGGAGCTTCAGTTCGTTTGTTTTCTACTTTGTGTTTCTTTTCTAAAGCTTCTCTCAACAGTTGGGTCAGGTTCCTGAGGCCTCTTTGCTCACACACCTTCATTTAGGTGGGACAACACATGTGTAACAAGGTTGAGATCATGGACGCGTAAAAACTGATATAAAAATAAGAAAAACTTAAAGTAGATGCATTTACTGTCATTTAAGTAGGTTCATAATATGATCTGCCAAATTTAATTTGTAATTTTTTCTATAAAATAAGTTAATTAGATATTATTCACCTTAAGCAAGGTAACAGTGTTGTTTTTTCTTACTTTAATTATAAATCACCATATTTATTGGCAAATTATCTTGTCCAGCTGCTTAAAGAAAGAACAAATACACTTAATTCAAGAAAAAATGTAACAATTTATTAAGAATTCAGTTTTTGCAGTGCACAAGCCGTTAGTCTGCCAGGATTTTCTTAAAATGTAATGATGGTAATTATGTTTAAAAACTTCAATTTAATTTAATCAACCCACAGGAAATGTCTCCAAAAACCAACAATTTTGTCCCCAATTTTTTTTTAATCTTTAATCTAGTTGTTTATGTTCCTTTGGTTTAATGGCTTCTTCATCTCTGAGCGGCACTTTAGTTTGAATACAGAGATAAATTGAAATCCTAAGCTATCTCTATAGCTATGCTGCTATAGGCTTAGACTGCTGGAGGACATGGGAGGACATTCTCCCACTCTGCAGAATTTATTAATTGCATCTCTAACGTCATGCTCTCCCTGCTTTTCTCACACTAGCTTCATCTGGTCTGTTCCTGTTTGGCTGTGACTCCATCCTGGAGAGAAATATCAGTTGCCCTTTGTATATTTGCTTCTTTCTGTATCTCTGCTTCTGTCTCCTTGAACCCCAGACGGCCTCGGCAGATGGCCGCTCACACTGAGCCTGTTCTGCTGTTAAAAGGGAGTTTTTCCTCTCCACTGTCACTACACGCATGCTTGGTGTGAGGGATTACCTTCAAGTCAATGAGTCAATGCAATCAATTGATTTTCCTTAGATAGAAAACTTTTTATTAATTTGACTGGATGATCTGGTTGAACTGTAACGTGCCTTGAGATATAAATAAACTGAATTGAATTGAAATAATTTACCTAATTAAAGCAGTGTGAGTTGAATAGAATAAAAAGATTGACCAAATTCTTAATTTCTAATCAGCTTTCAGATGTTCAGATGATGATCAGATTTAATACAATACAACACCATTTTTTGTTGTTGATGTTTGTTGGCCCGTGTGAACAGTTTTTGTTGTTCTCTCCTATTACCTGTATTTTCTGCTTTGAATCCATCTTTCCATGCTTTGAAAATCATCTAAACTCATTCAAACCTGAAGTGGAGCTTAAAAAATCAAACAAATAAAAAAGGTCTTGGTTTAAAAATGTTTTTCAGTTGAAATACAAAAAATGTAACTTAAAGGTTTAGAGAACATTGTAACGGCCAGTGAAGACATCACACCCCCTGGATTTGTTCAAACAGGGACCTCCAGACATGGATCTGGTTCTCCAGAAGTTCTGCTCATAACCCGGTTCTCAGTGGTACTGAAGCAGAGACACATCTAACCCTTTGATGCCTGTCGTTGCTAATAGCAACAAACCACTTGTATTACACTGCAAAACATGGAAATCTAAGTAAGTCAGTTTTTTCTTAACATTTTTTTTCTCTTCTTTCAAGTGCATAATATCTAATTATCTTATTTTAAGGGTAAAAATGCTAATTCCATTGGCAGATCATCTTATTTTCCTTCTCATATTAAAGGTAAATACACTTATTTTAAGACATTTTCAGAACATTTTTGCAGTGTAAGCAAACAGTCGCCATAGCGTTTCTGCATCACTCCAGTGCTAGTCACAGTGTATGTTATTATGTAGTTATAACTGCTGTTACAAAATATACTTTATCTTCATTTCTATTTATTTAGTAACAGTAACTGTTTTAATTTGGCATCTCGTTGACAGGAAAAACACACAAAATGTCTTTTTATATGTACGGTACATGAATATCAATTCAGGCTTCAAGGGGCTAAAAGTAGCAGGACGTCCATCTTTTAGGACACAGCTGCCTCAGATCAGGGCACAGTCAGGGGATTAGAATGGTCTAGTCAAAGGCCTAAAGCTAATTGAGAATCTGTGGAAAGTCTATAGAGCCCAAAACGTTTAAATTCAAACCTCAAACACCTGCAGCTGAATTTAAAGATGGCTGCTGGGAGACTAAAAACAAACGTTTTTCAGATTGTTTAAACATTCCTTCAGATTAGACCTGATTTCCATCCTCTGCTGATTCCTTTAAGAATCCAATTAGTTTATAACTTATTTTAGTATCATTTTCTACACTACTGTGGTGTCATTTCTTATCAGTTTATGTTCTTTAAAAAATCTTTTAAAATAATTTTTTTAAATATTTATCTCATTCTTGCAGCTTTCCCTCCCTTTTTTTTCTTCTATTATAATGTTTGTGCAGTCACTCTTTCACTGGATTTTTGGCAGATTTTTGGTCCCAGATTACAACAATAAGTAATCTTTGTAATCTGGTGCTTCTTCCATGTTTACTATCCAACAACAGACACATTTTGCATATAATATGACTATTAGACCTTGATGAGGAAATGGAGGACATAACGGACTTCCTGTAGTAATCCCCTTCTCTTGTAAATAATTTCCAGTGAAGTAATTCTGTGTTCAGGGTTTTTATTTTACCTTGGTTACGTGTCGTCACCAAGCAGAAGCGGGTCTGATCCTCCCAGAGACTGAAGAGCAGCGGCTCTGGGTTAATGATTAGTGCGCTTCATTTCCTGTGTCAGTGTGTTTTATGAAAATAAGACAAAGAGTCTTTCTATGACAGAAAGGACGGTGGGGGGCAGAAAAAGGTGAGATATGAAGATGTTATCAGACCTTCACAGAGGCTCGAATGATGCAACATGAGGCAACATTAGGAGTAAAACACAGATAGCAACTCCCGCCTTCATTTAAAGGAACTGTTAACCATAAACTGACTTTTCTAGTTGCACTTTTTTTTTTTGTTGTAGGACAAGTTGTAGATTTTTAGCAGAGTTCTAAAGGTGAGCT